GGAATAATTTTGCTAAATATCAAATACCTGTCACCCGGTTTATTGTCAAACTGAAAATACAAAAACAAATAAAAATAATGAACATTATGCAAATTAGCCAAAGGAACTCATTTTTTTAACTTGCATTTAGTCTTAACAATTAACTGTTCGGGAGATCAAATCTGCTGCCTTAGTTAATTAAATACTTATCTAAGAGGTGCGATTTGTTTTAAAATTTCTGTAATTAATTTTCTTGCATGTGAGTAGATGAAAAGCATTGATTGCACACGTGTGGTTTGCTGGTACATTTGTACATTCACCCCTTCTAATTCTCCTTGACCCTCGCCTTTTCCCTTTCTTCAGAAAAGTAAGAATCCAATACGATGAGAATCGTAGAATTATACCGCACAGAAGGAGGCCATTCGGCCCATCGTGTGTGTGCTGGCTCTTTGAAAAGAGCTTCCCAAATCAATCCCACTCCCCCGCGCTCTCCCCAGAGCCCTGCAAACTTGTCCTCCCCAAAGGAATTATGTACAACATTACAATTTCCTGTCGCTCCTGCTTTTTGCCTAAAAGCAGTATTATCTACTTGATCACCTTGTGTTCAAGGTCAATGATAGTCCTTAATTAATGTTGTGTTGCCCTCATTGTTACTGATTTCTCCTGTCTTTGTCTCAATCATCTCTAGATCACATTTCTCAGCAGCTCTTATAGGCTCTCTTACCGACAATACTGCTCAGCCATCCAGCTGCACAAATCAAGCCTTGCAAAACATTTTATAGTCTCTTCTCACCATTTTTCCGGTGCTAATACTGTAAACGATATGAACTCCAACTAGAATTGAGAGACAAAGAAACTGTAAAAAAAAATCAGGCAGTTGCGTGCATGATAAATGTCTGAGGGTGTTCATTGTAACACACTGTTGGATGTAAATGATGATTACAAGCTATTCAAGCTTTGCTCTGGCTTTCATATCATCCTAATCCCTTATGTACATTTAGAGCTTTGTAAAACCACCCCAACTGCCTTATTCCGTATCTAATGTTTGACTACGGATATCGGAGTTTTGATATTGGGTAGCTAACAGTGGTGGATTAAAATAGATCTTTTGTTTTCTAACTTATGACAGTTCAAACCAGCCCACGTGTAGGTTCAGCAGCAGTCAAGAGTAACATTACAATCGGCCCTCAACCCTAAATGGCATTTCCAGCGTGAACGTTTTCAGCTGCTCGTTGCCAGTCGAGGCTAGAAAATGAGATGCTCGCTCGGGGTATAGGCTGTGCTGTGAACTCATCTCCAATAGGAATTACATTATAACCGTGGGAACTGTTTTACCCGAGGCTTTTAACAGGCATCCAGAAGAGTTGACCTATATCCCCTTCAATGGATACACTTTCACGACGCATTAGTAGCTGCTCTGTGCACTGCATTACCTGAATCTGGCAATTTCTTGTGAAGAATTTAATGACGATTGTAATTTGTGGTTACAATTGCCATTTGTTTATTTTTAGCCTAAAAAATAATGCCCTTCAATGGGCGAGGGGAGAGGTAAAGAAATGGCAATATGTTAGCATCAGGCTAAAGTATTACTAGTGTTTCTGTCTCTTTATGCTCTTCTGTGATGAAAACAAGACCAGCTCTTGCCCTATGTACACCTCCCCCGAAATAACTGAAGAGATGAAATGGTGTCCATTCATTCATAACTATCACGTCGAAAGAGTAGTCTAGGAGGAGTGGATTAATCATGTCCTGGATTGGAATGTTTCTGTTGAATTTAACGATGCTCAGAATATTAAAATAGGATGTTAAAATATCAAAAACTGTGTTCCGTTTACGGCAAACCTCCTTACACTCTGGGCAAACCTCGATCATGCAGACAATACATGGCTACGCAGTCTTTTAAGCCTACAGATAAGTGTGATCATTCTGGCTGCTGTGATTTCTCATAGTTCAGCAAATTGGGTGGTCTGTAGAACATAGGCTGCGAATTACATTCGATGGAAGTTAACTTACTTCATTCATCAAATGAGATCGGAGTTTAATTACTAATGCTGACCAATCCAATATGAGTGGTCCGGATAAAATGGTTTGCCATTTAGACACACCTCCAATACTAGTTAAACATCCCAGATAAATATTTCCTTCTGTATGCCAACTATTTAATGATTGCATTCCTAATTGTAGGAATACAATAATTAAATCCGTTTCGCCCACAAAACATACAGCCAATTCACTTTACAGTATTGAAGTATCTATTTTCCAGGGTGATAGAACTTCAGATCAGCTCCCTATTCTCGTTCAAATAAATTAACCTGCTCTAAAACATCTGCCTATGTTCCTGCAAGGATTGTTATTAATATCATTATTATTGTATTGCTTCACTCTATTCCCATTGATGTAACTTGAATGAGAAAGTCCAGGCTGCTAACCATTCCCCTACCCGGCCAGCGCCATTTTTAACGTGCCACCAAGTGAAATGTGCACACATGAGTTAATGTGGGTCGAGAATCAGTGGTTTAACGGTGTTACATAAACATTTGAAACGGGCAAAACCAGCAAACCACACGTGTGCACAATTCATTCATTTGTAGCACTGTACTTTGAACAAAAAGGAATCCCTCTGGTCTTTAATTTCCCTTTAAACGAAAAAACTACTGCATGTTAGAGCGTGCCAGAGACACCAATATCGTTTTGAATCTGAAATAAAACTGTGATTTCTCAAAGTAGTGATAGCTACGCAAAAAGCTGGTAGTCAAGATGTGAGAACATGGTTTCAAAAATCACTTAACCAAGAGATCCTTGACGCAGTCCTGTAAGTTAATTTATTTTGTTGAATGTGTACACTTTGTTATGCTTTATCTTTTGGTAATTCTGGAAATTTCACACAAAAACAAAGTTGATAGAAATTGGGAAAGATTGTTTGGATCAACTACTTTTATGCCACCCATTTCACCTCCTGAGGGAAAGCTTCGGATTCTGCCTATTCCTATAATCTGTAATTCTTTTCTCTACAATTTTATTTATTTGAAGGTCCCTTAAAGCACAGCTGTGTCATGGACATTTCTTCCCAGTTTAATATAGCTTTCTGGTGTCCATTACATTGTTAGTGATTCTGATTAACTTGTATTTTCAGACGTCATTTGATTAGTTTCCAAATTTTATACTGCACTTACAGACAAGGTTAAGGCTAGGCTTTCAGTATTAATTTTAAAATCAACTCATTGGATTGTAACATGGCTTAACAATAAGAAAATACAGTGAGAAATGGAAAAGGTTGAGGAGGACTGAGAAAGTTTACGAGAACAGCCGAAGAGAAGATACTTGCACGTAAATGTATCTAAGTTATAAAAGACATCATTCCCAGAGTTTGACTTGTTTCCTTTGGAGAAAAGGTCTTGGGGTTTTGAGACCTGGTGAAAATATTGAAAATATCCCAAAGGGTTTCACAAGATTTACTGTGTAGTGATTTTTGTAGTCAAACAAATCATGCCAATAAGACATTGATCGGGGCTGTATAATGTTGAATAATCAACCCGCTATTCTAGACTTTTGCTTACTTTATCGTTTCTCAAGAGATTTTAGGTTGGGCAAAATTTATGATCAAATGGATTGCATATAATCTGTGGAATGGAGTGTAGTGTTTTTTGCATTTTATGCTTTCTTAAGGCGATATATCAAATGCAAGGATTATTATATTATTATTTATTTTTTGGCCTTTCTGGTTCCAGAAAAAAAAAACCCTGTAAGCCAATACATTCTGACAAGTCCTATCTCTTTGAAAGCAATGACAGTCCAATATCATTTTCCAGTGAATCACTTGGTAAGCAAGAAGCACCACAGCTGGTATTTGAGTATTAAATTACCAGCTTCACTAGACTCAGATTAATAGCTTTTCCATTAATGTTGATGTCCAAATAAAGAAGTTGGTTTATCTGGAGTCATAACTTGGTAATTTAGATGAAGTCGTTACTGACAGATTAAAGTCCTAACTAGATAATGTGTAGAAAAAAAGATGAAGCCAGTTAGCCCATCAAGCTAGTTCCTTCCGTGAGACTATGTACAATCTGTATAATTGTGGCCTCCACTCAGTATATTTAGTTGCCTCAGGGAAGTGACTAATCACAAGCAAAATGCAAGGATTATTATTATTATTTCGAAAAAGCAATGATGTATAAAATTTCTCCCTCATTCCTTAAGGCAAACTGGTGAAGCTCTGGGATATAGGAAATTATACTCTACTTTATTCAATTTTGACTCATCGCAATTCCATACTCCCACTAACACAAAAAATTTATTGTAGAGACATACTCTTTTTTTCTAACCCTCCATATCTTTCTTAGCCAGATGTTCGTTGATATTATTTTCAAAAGGGTTGATCAACCCTTTGTAGAATTGATTGATTTTGATTGGCAGCGTATTTCATATATCCCTGCTCTTTGGGAGGGAGAAAATAATCTAGTCTCTGATCTTGTTTAAGATCACTTTTTGCACTTGTGTTTGCCTGTTTCCTAATTATGGTGCAACTTAAATAGCCTGAACGCTATCTATTCCTCTCAGGAATTGGTTGTGAGTCCTTGCTCGTCTTGTTTGAATTTATTAAGATATTTCCAATGCATCAATGCCCTTTTGAGGTTGGAGAGCACAACATTGCATCCACTATTCCAAATAGGGCCTCACTAATGAAAACATTTTAACAGGGTTAAAATAATATGTTATCAAATTGGCTTGAAACTCATCCCAAATCGCACCTTAACATGTTACCCAAGTACCTGGTTGAACAAATATATTTCATACAACATATATGACTAACCTTCTTAGTTTGTGATTGATAACTGCTACGGTCACTGTGAAAATATGAAATCGAAGATGTATTTTTATTCACGATCAGCATTTTAATTTTGTTTTAAACTTCAATTTGCCATTTCAATTTCTTCCAATTTAGCCAAGGAACATTTAGTGTGTAGTACTGTCGACAAATATATATATATTTTAAGATAACCTTCTCTATTGTTTTTCTACAGAAACCCACCACCCACCTTACTTCAACCAGACAAATGGTGTCGGGGGTTCAATCACTTCATTTCACAGTAAGTAAAGTATTCTCTCAATTTGTTTGATAGATGATTCTCTTTTTCTGTGTTTTTTTTAAAATTCATCGGTCAAAGCTGGAATGCCCACAGTATTATTCTAGGTCTTATCGTTGGGTATAGAGTGAATTTTCGTGACACCTATGCAATCTCTATCTGCAGCTGGTCAGAGTTGTACATATTTGGCTACTTTATTCTCAACCTTCATATTCAGTGACGAATATTTCTCATTTCTTACCAGTTGAAAAAGAATTCTGTATTTTTTCATATATATATATGCATATCTGTCAATGTGGTGAAATTTGGAATGGGGTTGGGGGAAAGATCTGAAGCCTTTCAGAAAACATGCCGTTACAGCTCCATTAAGTATTTTATAAAGTATAGCCAGCATAATGTTTTATAACTTAATAATATGCATCACTGAAGCTGAAGTCGTTATATTCAAGTACTATCCATTTAGATGTTTTGATATTAAATATTTAATGACTGTTTTCCTAAATATCAATAGGAACAGACATGGTAACTCACTCAGTTCCCAGCAGACCCCTCCAAACCCCCCACCCACCTCGCATTATCCCCCAATAAAAACACAGGATGCAAGTTTAACCAGTGACTAGTTTAGTCTCAAAACACAGGAAGAGCCTTGATTTGATTCCTAACCTGTGCTGAGTTAGTTGATTTCAGCCGGTGCAGCTTTGGGGGAGTCGATCACCATTGGTGAGGTTCCAAGCAGATATGGTTCCTATGTTCAACAGGCAGTGGAGCCATATATCGCCACTACAGACCCAATCACCCCACAGCAACCTGTTTATAGGACCTCACTGGTGCGGTGCTGGTGTAAATGGCTGCCACGTTTGCTTACAGAAATACTAATTACCTATCAGGCTGTGAGTGATTGTAATGTATCGTGTGATTGATATTTTCCTGGTTAGCTACCTGGGGCAAACATTTACACATATGATGTTTACAGCTGGTTGCGAACAACCAGGTTTTATGTTTGTTCGCTTTCAAATATACCAATCGCTGCACTTTACGGTAAAATCCTGTGAGATGCTGCTTTGAGACATTTTGTCGACTCGATAAGGCGCTAAATCAAATGCAAAGATTATTTTGTTCCGTGACAATACCATTCTCGGTGGCCTTTTTACACAGTATACAATGTGAAAACGCCTCCCAAGGAGATGCAAGTGAGAGTAGTGACAAGTCACAGATGTTTTCCCAGAACTATATTGCATATTGTCTGAGAGCCATTCAACTCAATTGGTCTGATAACTGCTGCACATTGTGCTTATAATTGTAGCAATCAAACTAGGGAATTTTGCCCAAGGTGTGTGCCTTTTTTTTTGATGAGCTTCAAACATCTGCAGGAGAGAAGCAGAACAGGGTTTAAGGAGTAGTGCCTGGAGCTTTCTGTCATAACTGCTGCGTTAAAATGTTCCACTTCTGCTCCAGTGGACATTAGGAAGAAGCTCCCTAGAGAGAAAATGATTCTCCCTAGAGAGAATCTATCGTGTTGCTTCTCCAAGACTAAAATGAAGATAATAACTATATTTATCTATGCCAAACGTGTCATCAGGACGTCAGTGTATTTTTTAATTCACAATACAACTCTTCATCATTTAAAGGATATCTAAACTTGCTTTGTGACAGAGGTTTTTCAGTATCCTGAACATGCAGTGATGTACACTAAAATATATTCATCTGGAGTATCAAAAGGTATTGCGCATCTTGCAAACTTTGTAGCTACTACAAAATAAACATGCATGGAATCATTTGGGAATTAGCCAATTCACTTTACAGTATTTTCTGTGAAGCGCTTTGAGACGTCTCGAAGATGTGATAAGACGCTATATTAAATGCAAGGATTATTGTTATTATTATTTTCCACCTCTTCTAACAAAGCGAATTGTAACTGTTAATATGCATAAATCTTTATCCACCAGATAAACTCTCCCCTTGTTGAATAGTGCCGTGGGAACTCTTCATTTAGGTTGTACTTTCTATGAGAACTTTTGCTGCTGCTGTGGCTGCAATAAACATGTTCAGAATATATTCAATTAAATGATATACGTTTGATGAGCAAATGTACTATATTTGGCAAAACTGGACAGTTCAGGAGATTTTAATAGTTGTTCCAGTAGCTGCAGAGGAACGATAAACATAGAGGTAAGTGTCTATTAAATTGCTTAGTTTTCCATTCAATCATTTGTTTGTGTCTAATAATAATCCTTACATTTCATATAGCAACTATTCCAACTTGAAGCATTTTTGTCATCCTCCCAGAAACTCAAATTAACGGGTTATTATTTCCATTTTCATAATGAAAATACCAAACTGCAGCTGTGAACTTTACCCCAATGTCTATAAATTGACTCATTCATAATGTGTCAGTTGTGCATTTGTCATTGCATAGATCGTGATGTTTTGCATTATAAATGAAAAACTATTGACTGTATAAAATCTATATCAAGTGTGATCCGTAAGTTGGAGCCGTTCGTAATGTCTCTGGCAGCAACTGTGATGGCAATTTCATTATCCGACTTACTACTGATGGCCATTATCATTTTCAGTACCAGCTTATCAGGTTCTGATGAATAGTCCAATGCTTCTTGGGTGATACAGATCAGCACCCAACAGATCATCAACATGTCCTAACTGTCAAACCTTCAATCACTTTATAATATTGCTGTTGAACTAGATGGGTTGTAGCATATTATTTTGGGGGGGGAATCTGACATTATAATTATTTTCATGCACAAAATTAACTATAAGACAATTACAGTCTTAAAACCTATTATGTTTAGCTGTAGTTTTATTATCAAAAATGGAAAGAGCAGTGTTGTATTCTGTTGATACTATCGGCATTTGCACAATATAGAATTTATTTAAAAAGACTTATTAAAAAAAACATATCAGTGTGATTTGAAGTAGGGTGCTCTGTGATTTTACCAATGAGTTATAGAGGGTTAAAATAAGCTGTTTTGACTTTTAATCAAATATTGGTAAAAATGCATCTTGCTACTTGATTTAACTCTTATGATAGCTGCATCATATTGATCAGACACTTACGGTGAATGGTGAGTTATATAGATGCCCAAATCCTATTAGTTTTTCATGTTTGTTAATGGTGATTTATTTATGTTACATGAAAATATTTAGTATCCTAGGCATTGGAAACTGTATAATAGTGAAACATTGTACATTGGAATTGAGATTCTTTAGGAACGAGAAGTGGTTTGGTACTTTGAAATTCTATACTTCTATATTATGTGTTGACTGACATCTGTTGGTTCTTAATTATTGTTGTGATGTAATTGCTTGAGAGTACCTTATACTGAATCCAATTTCCAGCTCCAACTAGTCAGTAATCCAACTAGATTAAGGTGTCAGCTTGGCCCAGTTAGTAGCACTCTTGCTTCTAAACAGAAGATTGTGCGTTCAAGCCCCACTTTAGGAAGAGAAGGGAGTTTCTCCCAGTTCCTGGCCGACAATCCCCAAATAAAATTGGTCACTCACTTCATGGTTGTGTGTGGGACATTGATGTGTGCAAATTTGCTGTCGCTTTCACCTACAAATACACAGTAACTTATTTTGAGACGTCTTGATGATATGATAAAGCACTATATCAAATGGAAGGATTATCAGCATTATTATTGTCAGAAATGAGCAGTACGTCACATCTATTCTGCAGATTATATTGCATAACCTGGAGATCATGTAGTATGCTGTTATGTCTCCAGGAGTGTTTTTCCCTTCACACCAGCCAGCATTCATAAAGACCTCAAGTAAAGTCACATGCAAATTGTGTAATATGACCTTTAAAAGTATTGGAAATCTTTCATTTATTTGCGATTGGAAATTACAAAAAAAAACTACATTTTGCTAAAAATTTGACTTATGAGGACAAGGTCTTCTGAAAAGGTTACACGTTTTATATTGGCTTAGCCGGTGATCTGGGATACAGTTGTTAATTTTTATTGTGCCTCGCAGACTTTGTTCCAGCATTGTAAGCCATTTTAAATCAATCCATATTTTAAAAAATCCAGAAGATTGATCCAGTCATTTTTTTTTCAACGCTGACATCGGTATTATAGAATTGCAGGGATGAATTTTTTTTATTAAGGTTAACCGTGAAAGGCACTATACCGAATCCAAGGATTATTAACTAAGTACTTTCCTAGTAGATCATTGCTCAAGAGAACATAGTTGTTTTTAGAGATTAAACTACAGAGAACTTTATTTCTTGTTTGCACACATGGATGTATTTTACCCGCTGCTGTGTCTGTTTGGTTCCAGTAAATACTTATATTTCCTGCTTCAAGCTTGCATTGGAAGGATGTTGAAAAGCACTCTGCACATGCCAAATAAGCTCATGTAACAAGCACTGAATCCCAATGTTATTTAAAGAATAGATTTTGCCATTGAAAGATGAATACTGACAGCAGCCTATAGCAGGCAGCATTTCTTCCCCATCTATGCCTGCTCGCTCTCTCTCGCTCTCTCTCCCTCCCTCCCCCCACAATTGCAAGGAAACTGAAACCGTCTAAGTGTCCAACCCCCTTAATAACCACCTGAATATCTGCAGAGATCATGTACAAACATATACAGCTGTAAAAGCATTTGCAAATTATTGATGGTTCAGTTTAGAACTCGTGACCTCAAAAAAAAATCTGTTCACTGAGGTACAACAACAGCATACATTTATATAGTGTCCCTCACACGGGGTAGTGTCCCAGAGAACTTGACAGTGGCGGAGCACGGAGGGGAGGGAAAGGGGTAGCTATACACTTGAGTTCTGCACCAGTAATTTTTAATGTTTGGAATATCATAACAGACCTCAATAATAAGCTAAACTAATCATTTAAATCATGAACATTCATTTATGTTGTGTGGCCACGCCTTGAATGTCTTTGACGGGATAAGGGGCTGTATCAAATGCAGTTTGTTTTTATTATTTGGCATGTTTCTATTAAATCCCTAAACAAAAATGAATCGATGCGGATTAATTTTAAAGGGCAGATATAATGAGCGTGGGCAATAATTAGCGGTGTGAGGTAAACTCTGAGTACATAATCTTACACTGGTAATGAGCGCCTCGTGAAGGGCACTTTAGAAACACAAGTTATTGTTTTGATGGAAATTGAGGTTTTGGTTTGAACAGGACAAGCCGATAACACCTTTGCTCTGTGGTTGTCTTGTCTACACAGACTTGCTTTTCTATTCATTCTATTCTTCAAAACGGTAGAGGTTTTTTTTTCGCCAGCGTTGAGAAATGGCTTTCAGTCTAGTCGTCTGATTTACCGGTGACAAAATGGCAGTTTAAAACATTAAGACACCAGCCATACAAACAATGTTATCAGCGAACTGCAAGCTGTCTCCAAATTTCCAAGGCGCATCAGGCAGAGCCATATATAGGTGTCTTGGCTCTTGTTCGCGGGTAATAAATGCTGGAGCTTCAGCCTATAATCGTGGCAGCAAATAGTTGCTCAGTGTGACAAAATGGAAATTGTGTTTAGCAGCTTGGCTGCCAGATCACAGCAAATGGCTGAAACCTGCGGTTAATGTAGTGACGCTAATGAATTCTGAGAATTAATTTTTAGCTGAGGAAAGGATGATGAAGGCTGCCAGAATGTCAAACAAGATAAGGGATTGTCTGTCGCCCGAGCTTGATTTTATTTGTTTGCTGCGTTTGCTGCTGCTGGGCAATTGTTTCTGACCTTTTCATTCCATCAGATTGCGAGGTGGCATATGAGCTACTTCATCGATGGGTGGCTGGTGTTAGGAAAACAACCCGAAGAAATTAATAATTGCACACGACAAAATAACAAGGCGACGACGATATGTCACTAAAATGGTCATGAGTTCATTTTCGCTCCTGTTCGCATAAATACATTTGGAACAAATAACTTCAGAATGAAAGTTAATTTTTTTTCGATGACATTCACTGAACCAGAAATGAAAGCATTCACATTCACGTATTGTTTTGCAATTTTTGTGGGCAGCACCGTATTAGATGGAGCGCAAATGAATGTAACACTCATTTGATAGGAAATAGTACTGAAACTCAGCTCTTTTATCTGTTAAATATATGTCTGTTTCAAATTCTTATGTGGCCTTACATTTCCCATGGCTGATGAGGGTATTACTCAAGAATAGGTAGAGTCGGTGAAATAGATTCAATGGAAAAGCAGTAAAGATATTCATGACCCAGTTCCTGTAGACTTGTTGATATGTGTTATCCAATGGATGGAGAAGGTTGATGAGTTTAGACACCATTTATTCAGCTTGACTGTGGCAACCTGGAGTGCACAATAATGAGCACAAACAATGCCCAGCAAATGCTGACACGTCGCTGGCAGGAGAAATGCAGAGATAACCGTGTGAGATCGTCGAATGCAACGTAGGTAAACTGCAGCTCCAGTGTACGTAGGGAATTGTATGCCTCTCCTTGGAGGTTAGGCTGTTTGCACAGTTTTACACTCGCTCTAAACAAGTGAGCAACTCAATGATTTGACCTGGTTATCATTTGCTGACACCCCGGTTGTTCCAAGGAAAGCTTGTCTAAATCCTCAGTGATGGTAGGTGAAACTCCTATACTGCGCGAGTTGTCGGTTTCTACGTAAAATTCACTTTCGAAAATCTTATAGTTTAGACAGATACTTTTAGTAGAGATTTGACGATTTTTGCTGTGAAAAAATGATGGACAATCCTTTTATTCTAAGCATCTGGTGCAAAGGTAATGATAAAACACTTTAGAATGAAAACTACAATTTGTTTTTTAATATTGTTTCTTGGTGTGAAATAACTCGATCTGAAAGAAAAGCAATACAGTAAATCTGCGTTGGTCCATTTAATTTGACGTCTCTGCGATATCAAAATAATTTGCTTTAGAATATCAGACTCTCAAACTTTTTCTTTGAGATTCAGTGTCGGTAACGAATAACTTTTTCCAAATAATTTATTAATATTAAACTGAAACCCACAATAGGCATTTCAGTTTCACTTTTCAAACCTGCACGAAGGTAATCAGTTGATGTATGATTTTTTAAATCAAGTTTTCAGCTTTTGCTGGATGTGGTTTGTAAATGATGACTTTTTTTTTCCTGCACTGATCACTCGGTGCCTAAATCATATACTTGTTCAATATTCTTATTTGTGTCGCGGTTCTCTATTCCTTTCTCTAGATGTCTCATTAAGGACTTTGAAAGGCGCCCATCAGTTACACATCTGTTGGAACACCCATTTATTAAGCAGGCTCATGGGAAAGATATAACTTTACAGAAGCAGTTAGCTCATCTGATCGAAACACAACAGCAGGATGGATCAGTGGAAAAAACAAGGTAAGTAACGATTGCTGGATTATTACTGTTTTAACTGAGATGCTTTGAAAATGACGTTAATTCTCATGTAACGCGGAACTTAAACGTTAATTGCATGTAACAGGAAGTGGCGGTTGTGGATTTTTTTTTAAAACCCCAATGAGAAATTAAGTTTTATAATGTAAGTCATTTGCGTTTTGCTGCATTAGTTATAAGACTATACTATTATTTCGACAAATGCAGAGTTCCAGAATCATTGATAGAAAAAAATGTTGTCCGAAGTTACTAAATGGACAAATGAATATTATAAAATTTTATACGTTTGCTGGTGAAGCTGGGTTTGTTTATGTATTATCTGCAATACTTGGAAATGGCCAGTGAGTGGCAGGATGTAACTGGTGACGGGAAAGGAACATTCAATAAACTGAGAAGTTTCAGTCCCGGTAAACCTTGTACATTTGTCATTTTACCGAAATGATTGTTTACAAATGTTGAATCTCAATTGGAATGTGTATTACATATGGAATTGGGATGGCACAGTTATTACTATTGACACCCTGTTTGCTTAAATGGCTCTATTCTCTTATCATCGATAGGTTATTAGGTAAAATGACATCTTAACATTTTTGCATAGCAGTGAAATCGTATTAACAAATTATATTGTAGTTACTGCTTCATTCTATAAAAAGCTCTGATTTCTGGGCTTGTACGTAGCATTTTATAAAACGCCGCCTCACTGAAAACTCAACTTATACAAATCCCTGTCACCACCTTTTTGGAGCCTGTAGTCGAAGTACACCTGTTTCTCAAGAAAAATAACACAATATTCAAGATGTCTCACACTCTGCATAAACTGTGTGAAATTGTTTGACAAATATAAACACATTGGGTTTGTATAGTGGGGAAATATAAATGTAGAAAATAAATACCAGCACTCAAATGTCGCCTTTTGTTTAGTCTCCAGAAGAGGGAAACCTGGTTTAGAAGCAGTGATATTGTTTTAAAAGAAGTGGCTCCAGAAAGTTCTTTTTACCCTCCTTATAGGCAAATTGTCGAAATGTCCCAAAGCGTTTTCACACGATTTACTATAAGGTATAGTGACGGTGTATTTGTCGGCAAAAAACTATATGTGAGACTCTGATGTAATATATTTATCATAAAAGTCATTACTCAGACAGGGGAGGCATTACACTTGGCTTTCCGGTGCCCGGGTTAAGGAAGAGACAATTAACGGGGATTGCTTTCCCGAGACTCTATGGCAGGTCTGTGTTATACGTTATAGATGTCCATTGTAGGGCTTGGTTTTAAAGTCTCCCAGGTGAATAATGTGCTAGTTCGACGAGTTGAATGGGCATAACAAACAACATACATCTCTTTACAGCCCTTTGGTCTGCTCCAGCAGAAACCGTTGAGGTGGCTTCAGTCCACCTGTGTAGGCTGACTGTCCTTTGGGCCCAGTTGCTGTTCTCTGATTGCTTGGCTCTGCTTTCAGATGTACAGCAAGGTTATTTATGGCCTTGTATCCAGCTTGTTGGGGCTTCACTGATTATTCCTTCCCCCTGCTGATTGTGTGGCATAACGTCAGCACTGGAAATGTAAAATTAAGGTGGATCTGAAAACGGGGCAGGATTAGCTTAACGGCGACAACAACAACAACTTGCATTTATATATGGCCCTCACGCAGGATAGCGTCCCAGAACGTTTCATTGCTATGCTGCCACAACATTAGTACCCTGCCAATCTGACAACAAAGAATTTTTATCAAGAGTCCTTCCCTCGCCAACAAAATGCAAGTGTTTTTATCAAAAATATTTTCAAGAGGAATCCGACAATTCTGGTTGATCTGCCGTATTTGCCTTTTAAGATGAAGAATGTTATGTATCCTCGCTCTACAAACTTCCATCTTATCCTCACTTCCTTGGTAGTTTAATGTCTGCTTCCCCACGCTATCTGTCTTTAGACTACCTATATCTTCGACCCGCACTTGTGTTCACCTCTCATTTCCCCTTGCTCAGCGTCCAACCCTGGCTTTGTGAAGTGGTCTCAGACATTATCCTTCACGAAGAATGCTATATACATGTACTTGATCACTGTGGCTTTTTTTCCTATTCTTATTTAAATGAGGCCATTCTTAGTTAAATTGCCTCATTTAACTCCTCAGCTGTTGAATTTGGTTGCTGCCTACATTTATGTTTTTCCGGTTAGTGAATGCATTGAGGCATTGCATCCTAGTGGAATTTAGGATTAATTTTGATATTTGCACGGAATGATTGGAACTACAGAATTTGCAGAAAATGTACCAATTTGTTTGTTAGGCCATTCTCACTAACCTTTGAGCTATAATCCCAAATGCACCACAAACTCTCTATCTCCTGTTCAGTTGGGCAGCTTGGGATATGCGCAGAGCAATAGATTCACGATGAAGCGAGTAAAATAAATATGCAAGGGATTTGCGAAAAGCTGTGATGCAACTGTATAATCACCTGCGCTGCAACTCAAGAGTATTACCATTATCATAGCCTAGTAAGAACCTGTGACATCTATACCCACCTGGATATTCATCCAAGATCAGTGTGCCGGAGATTATCACTGAGCATCAGCGGAAACTGTTGCTCAGTAGAACTCAGCGGTTTAAAGTACAATATTGTCACGAAAAAGTGTGTCAGTGTGTTTTTTTACACGGGAGGGCAGAAGTGAACGACATGCGTAGAAGAGCCACGTGCCATTTACATCATGGGAAATTCGTGCGCAAATTACAGCAGCAACTTGCATTTATATAGCGCCCTCCACGTGAGATAGCAACCCGGCGCACTTGACAGTGGGGGAGTCTGATTGTACATGATGGAAGTGAACAAGAAAAGGTGTGTGAAATGCATTTTGCTGGGATTGTGTCTCATCAATTTGAAAGATTAAATAAAATTGATTGTGTAACATATATAACATATATACGCACGCATGATCAGTGAAACACTTCACGACGTTTCAGTTATAGATGCTATATCAAACACAAGGATTATTTTTGACCTATAATAATATTAATCCTTGTATTTGATATAGCGCCTTATCACGTCTTCGAGACGTCTGAAAGCGCTTCACAGAATGTACTGTAAAGTGAATAATCTGTGTATTTTATGGGCAAACTATGGAGTTCATCTCCATTATAGTTATGCCAATTATTAACCCTCTGTAGTATTGTATGGAAAGACAAAAGAAAGAATTGGTATTTTTATTGTATCTTATGTGGAAGCATCTCGAAGCGCAGGTGACTGTTCTCAAGTGTGCTGATCCATTTCCAGACAGATATAGCGAGAAGGTTCCTTGTTCTAAGGTCACTGTTTAATATAAATATGTCTCCATGTTCAGAATGGAAGCTAATCTTTTTTTAAACGATATAATACAGGCATGAGCGCCTTTGTACAAGAAAAAGACATCACCTGAGAGCGTCCGAAGAAGGCGGCCAGGACATGACTGATGACTTAGTCAGCCTTGAGTTCTTAGATGAGGTATGTTTCTCAAAAATGTCTCCTAATGTGAGGTAAGTAAACTTTCTACCATTTTAGTGTCTGCAGCCCATGTCCCCTAACCACTGAGTAAAATATTATCTAATGACCTGAAAATGAAGCACCTTTGAGGCCAACGTGGACATTTTTGATTTTTTTTAGTTAAGTATACGTCAAGGTCCACACACCAAAGTGTTATAATGAAGTGTTATAATGTGCATTTTAAAATCCCTTCAAAAAATAATAAATTGGTCACTCAATCCACGACTGTTTGTGGGACGCTGTGTTGCGCAATTGGCTGCCACGTTTCGCCCACAAAATATACAGTCAATGCACTTCACAGTATATTCTGTGAAGCTCTTTGAGCCGTCGCGAAGACGTGATAAGGCGCTGTATCAAATGCAAGGATTAATATGATTCTAACGTAGTTCTATTGAGGTATCTTTTTTCCAGGGTTACAGAACTTCAGATCAGCTCACTGGCTTGCTGCTCCCATTCAAATACATTGACCTGCTCTGGTACATCTGGTTATATTCCTGGAGCAGCCGAAGTGAGGAGCAAAACCAATGGAGCTAATCTCCGATCCTCCAAACCCCAGCGTGATTAGAAACAATCCAACTTCCCACTCAGCCGTGATACACAGTTAGCCGTATCCACACAACATAAGAGTTAGAAATGTCGCATCACATTCTGAAATTGCAGCCAATTCAGTTATAGCTGTGAGGGTTCGTGCCGTAATGAACTATATTACTGATTCCGTGAGACGATTATGCAGTGAACTGTGTGATCCTGTTGAATCGCAGGCAGGCGGTTTCTGATGCAGTGCTAAATACAGCGTCTCAGTACATTCGCTTTGTTAAAGTAGAGCAACAACAATTAGCTACTTAGCAGCTACTTTTGTGACGTAGTGTGATTTTCACAGTGACATTGATTGCACACAAGTCTGGGCAAGTGAGGCTATAAATAATGCTTTTACTGATCCTGAATTAGAAATTATTCTATTAAACAAGTTGTCGTTACACAGGTCTATGATCCACAAAAGCCCATCTTTCTGTGGTGGAACATATATTTGACGAGCGGTGGGAGCTGTAACATAATGTGAAGGAATCTGAACTGTACCAACTTGATAATGACAGTAACATGAATATTGTGGCTAGGAAATAAATAAACAATTAAATAACCTTGCCCCAGGTGCATTTTTTCCGACAGAAATAACGTTTAGAACCGAACCACTGGGGTAGTTATTCCATCTTTCACTAAATCTATTTATAACAGCAACATAAGGTGATATTCAGCCGCAAATCTTTAGAAATTTTGATCAGACAGAAGTTAGACCTATCGAGCTCTCCCATCAAACTGGCTATGAATTGCTGCTTTATTTATTTATTCATTTTATTTATTTATTTATTTATTTATTTTGCAGATGTGAAAATATTTATCTGATTGCCGCTTGTTTGATGTGACCTTTATTAGAATAATAGTCCTGTAGCTCAGTGGTTAGAGCACTCGCTTTGCAAGTGAGAGACCTGAGTTCAATTCCAGGCAGGTCAGGGCGAAACCTTGGGCAAGTTTCCTTACTCCACACGTCTAATAATAATCCCTCCAAAAACAAAAAACAATAATAAATTGGTCATTTTCAATCTACGACTGTTTGTGGGACATTGCTGTGCGCAATTGGCTGCCGCGTTCGCCCACAAATATACAGTCAATTCACTTTGCAGTATGTTCTGTGAAGCGCTTTGGGACGTCCTCCCGACGTGAAAAGCGCTATATCAAATGCAAGGATTATTATTATTATTAATACTTAAGTTTCTCTCCCCCCCCACATGATTGTTTCCCCTTTATCTCTCATTGTATTCTTAGGCCGGTCTCACTACTGCACAGAACCATGTTGGCGGAATGAGTGAAACAAGCATCTCCCTTTAGTTGTTGCAATGCTAGAATATAACCTAGTTTATTTCTGGTGCTGGATCCTAAGCCCAGTCCTCACCGTGTCGGCATGATTTATTAGCTGCTCTAATGCTAAACAAACACAACCGACAGCCTATTGATGCATTTCAGGAAATTCAGCAAATTGTAAGCTCTGTTCTCCCCCAAGTATGGTTTTAGCCACTCCATCCCGAAGCTTTAAAACTCTCTCCCCCAATCCCTGTGCCTTGCCCCCTCCTTCCCCTCTTTTGGATCACGACTGAAGACCTACTGCCCCATGTGAAGGGTGCCATATAAGTGAAAGTTGTTGTTGTTGCTTTAGACTGAACTAGTTTCGGGAATGCCTGATGCTGACACTGGAAATAGCAAATGTGAAAATATTCCAAACCCGTTCCTTTGCCAGATTATTATCCAGCTCTTTATGTCCTCTTCTCTTGAAACATGAGTAGCACAGGAAGGCTACAAGAGATTTATAAGCTATAAATAGGCAGCCCGAGAGATTTTCCAAGAATGATGTACCTGAAAGCGAGTAGTAAAACAGCAGCAAAAATATCGTGCCAAGCTCCAAGGCAGATCGTGACCTTGAATCAAGAATCCCTATAGATCTGCGGAATTTAAATTTGATTTGAAATGGGCTTCTCTGCTCCTTGTTCCTTGTAGCAATCTTCAAACCTTAATGCAAAAATCGTAATTGTATGATGTTTGTAGTGTTTCCCTCGCCCCACTCCTCACTGTGTGAACTTTTTAATCTGTCCCCATTAGAGAGGAACCAGTTTATTGTCACTCCTCACACCTGAAAGAAACTCTTTGAAGTAGTTTATTGTGAAACTGTACTTTAATGTTGTGTTTCCTAGGAAACCATCATATACCATCTGCAGAAACGCTATTCCGAGTTGCAAGTGTACACTTATGTTGGGGATATCTTAATCGCCTTAAACCCTTTTCAAGACCTGAATATTTACTCTCCAGAGGTAAGGCAAAAGTTGTGCAATGTTCCTGAAAGCATGACAAATATAGTCTTTGCAGGATGTATTGTGCCAGTAAAATGTCTGTATGCTATTTGATGATTAAAACTAGCCTTAAAGAAAATAGATTTGTATCTTCAGTAATAAAGTACAAATGTAATTTCATATTTGATTAGACTTTTTTTAATGTAGGAGTTATTGTATGACATAATTCTCAGACGCTGAGTGAAATATTTTGGTTCCCTACATTGAAATTACACATGGCGTAGATTTGTCTTATCTATGTTCGATGTTTTATCGCAGTTTTCTAAGCTGTATCATGGGGTGAAACGTTGCTCAAATCCCCCACACATCTTTGCCACTGCCGATGCTGCTTATCAAGGAATGGTCACCTTCAGCAAAGACCAGGTAATGGCAACACAGGGAAAAAAACACTAAAGTCTAAGTTGACTTTACTTCTATACACCGCTGGTTTATCTAGTCATTACACATTGCTCATCTCTCTAAACACTGGGTTTTATTTTACCTGATTTGTATGTATATACTCAGTCTTTTTAAAGCCAACTTTTTCTAACTTTTAAACCTATTCTGTCTTCATGCTCCTACAGAGTGAGAGTGCCTATTTTTAAATTGTTCTTTCGTTGGTTGAAAACCAGGTATACAAAGTAGTTTTTTTTAACCGCTAATAAAAAGCTGAAGACGTATTGAGGCACATCATAAGATTGAATGAATCTTTGATACCCATACCAAGAATTTGAGTCTGCAAAAGCATCCCACACAGATTTTGTAAATGGACATGTAAACTCTTCTGTGTCGCTCCATAATTAACCATACAAGTCCTATCAGCATTCCACGTATCTTGGAGAAAACATTATTTTAAGAGATTTCTTCAACTCCAATTTTGAGGATTTATTCCATTGGTTGTGTGTCCCCCGCTGTATGATTTCAGAGCCAACTGTTAATCAGCTTTGGTTGCTATGTTTGCTCATTTGTTTTTGACCTTACAGTGCATTATCATTAGTGGAGAAAGTGGAGCAGGGAAGACTGAGAGTGCACATTTGATTGTTCAGCATTTAACCTATCTGGGAAAGGTATGATTGGGATATCATCTATTAATGTTGACTTGTTTAATAGAATTTGTCTCTGACTTGTTTAATGCTGATTTATTATGCCGAAGGATTATTGTGACTTCTAGTAATTTCTTGTCATTACTAGTCATTTCTTACGATTAGCTGGTAGTTAAAATTATTTTTTGGAACATTCGAATTTTCTTGGGAATGTTCTCTAATTTATTTTGCTATTGATATTTATTGGATAACCCACAGGTGTTTTACTTTGCCGCAGGCTAATAACCGTGTTCTGCGAGAGAAGATTCTTCAGGTTAATCCACTTGTAGAAGCCTTCGGGAATGCCTGTACTGCGATCAATGACAACTCCAGTCGATTTGGGAAATACCTGGAAATGAAGTTCACTCCCACCGGGGCTGTGATGGGAGCCAAAATCTCTGAATATCTCTTAGAAAAATCCAGAGTCATCCAGCAAGCTGTGTACGTAGTCCCTTTAGTTTTAATCATTTGACCTCTGGCAAGTCACCCAGTTTCTTTTATTATCCTTTTTTTAATAATTTATAATTCTTGCATTTGATAGAGCGCCTCATCATGCTGTCTTGACGTCTCAAAGTGCTTCCCAGGATATACTGCCCTCTATTTTGGAGACGCATTTAAAATATAGGCTTTGATTAACTGAACTTTGGTTTGAAGACTTTTTTTTCAGTCAATCAACGAGCAAGGTATTATTCATGATTGATATAACTGCAGATCAATCTTTGATTTTCTTTTTTAAAAAAGTCATCAATGTACAACAATGAACACTAAAGGCTCTTGAAAATCTTAGATGCTGCTTATTTCTAAAATAATTACCAATTTTCCAGCGTGTATTCCAAACCATTGTTAAAAATTTGACGTGAAACCTATTATTAATACTGTGCTGTCTATTATTATTTTTTTCAGAAGAGAGAAAAGTTTTCACATCTTTTATTATATCTATGCTGGACTGTATCATCAGAAGCAATTGGCTGAGTATAAGCTTCCAGAAAACAAGCCACCCAGGTAAGTGATCCCTTACCTGTAATTTAGACCTTGAGTTATATTTTGCGTCTGTGATTTCATAAACCACTGTGTTTTGAAGTGTTGATTTTTTTTCATCGAGTCCTGGATGTCTTTGCTCAAAACACCTGGCAGGTCTCGGAGGATTGGCTTCAGTACCTCCAGATTGGCTAGCGAAACATATTTTTACAATGGCAGCAATTCAAAGCCACTATAAAATTCCCCAGGGATTAAAATTACACTTTTATGTGCAGCATTCACATTAGATTTTATTGTAAATAAATGTGAGGAACACCTGTTTCATGACATCGACTGTGTGGTATCCAACAAACAAAGTTACATTTGTATAGCGCCTTTCACGTCGGGAGGACGTCCCAAGGCGCTGGACAGACAGAGTTATGGACCCGAGCTGGGGGTCAGCGTGGGGGAGGGTGGAGGGCAGGGGAGGAAGCAGGGAGATCGAAAGCACGTTCAAAGAGGTGGGTCTTGAAGGTGGCGAGGGAGGGGGTGAGGCGGAGGGACTGCGGGTTGGAGTTCCAGAGGGTGATGTAAATTAAAGGATTGATTGTTTCCTTTGCTGCAAATCTTCAGTGACATTTTTGTATCCGAGTCGTTTATGTTAAATAAAGTTCTGTGTGACCAGAATATTTTGTTCTTGAACAGGTATATTGCCAATGAAGAAGGCAACATTATGCAGGACATTATAACCAACAGCTTATACAGGGAGCAGTTTGAAGCGATTCAGCATTGCTTCAGAAGTATAGGATTCACTGATGAGGTGGGTAACACTAACTCTTCAGTATGTTCGATATTTACAGTATTTATATTCTCCGAAATTTAAGACTAAACATATGCTAAAGAGCTTAGCCCACCAAATACACAGTCACTACACTTTGCATTCTATTCGGTGAAGTGCTTTGAGATGTCTCAACGATGTGATAAGGCGTTATATCAAATGCAACGATTATTATTATTATTACTGATTTTTGCAAGAGAATATTTCATTAAATACATAGAAGCAACAGTTTCTAAGGTTGTAATCCAACAAGATTGAAGATCACCTTTGCTTGAGTGTTGTAAAAGTTACGAAGGGTAAGGATTATATTCTTCTCAATCTAGTTCTTGAACAACACAGAATGTTTGTTTGTAACAATGGAACAAAGAAATCTTATCTGATTCAGAGAAGACTGTTTTCCTAACATTCACTTGGTGTTGCATTTGTGAAGTAATTGATGGTGACTGAAGATTACATAAGACGAGACTTTTTTTTTAAACCATGTTTCCATGTATCTGGTGGCTTTAAAGACGGGTGGAAGCAGAGGTAAAGTAACAAGGAGCACAATTATTGTGCCTTTGACCTGGGTCGGTGTTGAATTCACAGTAAAAACTTCATTGCACTGCTATTTTTTGTGTAGATATAGAGTATGTCTAATGCATCAGACCTGTAGGCTCACGACAGCCTGGCTATGTGTGTGCAGTGACCAGGTTATTTGGACTTCACACAGTTGAGGGTTCTTAATCTAACTGAACTCGACCCTGCTGCACAGTATTGTGCTTGTACAGGTGCGTCACCCTGTACATTTGTCACCCACTTGTGTGCAATGAGTTTAACCTGGCCAGCACATGTAAGGTGCTACCTTTGATTCACCTCGCTCGTACTGACCAGGTAATTGTACGAGACAAATTGTATTGGATACCAATAGGCCGCTGTCTTATCTTAATATGTTCTCCCGCCAACACAAGTTCAGCATGTGACAGGTGATTTTATCAGAAACTCTGCATCCAGTGGACTTTCAGAGTTCCAAGCAACGATGCTGTCTCTCAAGAGAGTTCAATAAGCAGGAGAAATAAAGCGTCGTCCTGTTTGGATTGTTACGTATATACTCTGTGGCGTACAGATATTTGAGTTGAACTTCCATAAGCAGTCCATTATGAATTAACTACAAACAGATTTGTTAAATCCAAGAAGAAAATGGAGAAAAAGTTAATGTTTAGGACAATATCAATGAAATTGGCAGAATTTTTAAAAAAAAGTTATTTATGACATAATTGCCTGCATTCTGCAGCAACTAAAACTGTCCGCTCTTGCTAACAATGCATTTTCAACTAATTGCAGTAATTCACTAAATTCTCCCTAATAGCTCAGTGGGCGGCTGCTTTTGGGACATTATTCTTGGAGTTGTAGGTTAGGGAGTGATAGTCATTTGTTATACTAAGCTTCACAGAATCTAACAGCACAGAAGGAGGCCATTCGGCCCATCGTGTCTGTGCTGGCTCTTTGAAAGAGCTACCAACTAGTCCCACTCCCCCGCTCTTACCCTATAGCCCTGCAAGTGTTTCCTTTTCAAGTACATATCCAATTCCCTTTTGAAACCTACTATCGAATCTGCTTCCACCACCTTTCAGACCGTGTATTCCAGATCGTCCAACAGCATTGTTTCTGCAGTTACGCTAAGATGCGATTGTTCAATTGTGACATTTGTATGAAGATCCAATTTACATTCATTCTGCTTTACACACCTGTGTGCTTTGCTTTTGGTTCAGGAAGTGCATTCAGTATACAGAGTACTCGCTGGGATCCTAAATATTGGAAATATTGAATTTGCAGCCATTTCCTCAAAACATCAGACGGATAAAAGTGAAGTTCCGGATGCAGAAGCTTTAGAAAACAGTAGGTTTTTAACCTAATTCTGACAAATTATTGATATTTCATTTAAAAAGCTCTCCCATTTAAAAGTATGCGTCGATAGTGAACCATTGTCGCCAGCTAATCATAAAGTAGGTCATTGTAATTGCAAAACAACTAAGACAACACAAAGCTCCATATGGTGCTGAGTATTTGACCAGTGTATAATGATGTCGTACCATGTTTATTTGTGATTCAAATGTTCCAAAATGTGTGTCTCTCTTTCAGCTTCAACACTACTTGGAATCGGTTCTGAAGAGCTTCAGGAAGCCTTGACCTCTCATTGCGTTGTGACCCGGGGAGAAACTATAGTTCGTACCAATACGGTAGACAAGGCAGCTGATGTACGCGATGCCATGTCAAAGGCTTTGTACGGGAGGCTTTTCAGCTGGATCGTAAACCAGATCAACACCTTGCTCCAGCCCGATAAAAGCATTTGGTAGGAGAACAGGTTTCACATCTTCTTTGGCAATTTTGTAGATCCATTGTGTCAGTACCGTATAGAGTCCTAGAATATTACAGTACAGAAAGAGGGCAATTAGGCCCTTCATATCTGTGCCAGTTCTTTGAAAGAACTATCCAACTAGTTTGATGCTTACCCCATAGCCCTGCAAATGTTTTGTTTTTAAGTATCCATCCAATTCCCTGTAATATTGTACTCTTCTTTTATAGAGGCGTTAAAATTTCATGAAATGTTTGGGATTTATTTTTATTTGAGAGAGAGAAAAGCCAAGTGATTTTTTTTTTGTTTCTACAACAACCCAACTTGCAGTAATATAGTGTCTTTCTGCAGAGTGTTTCTGCAAATGCTGAGCGAGGGAGGAGGGAGGTGACCGAAATCAGGGCCAAAGAGATAGGCTTTTAGGTGGGAATTTGAAGATGGAAAGAGAGACAGGGCAAGACGGGGAGTTAGAGGAGGGAATTCCAGTGATTGGGGATGCAGTTCCTGTAGACTCAGTGACCAATATCACGGCTGTTGTGTGATTTTATTCATTTATCTCAATGAATTCTTTATATGCACGCATGACAAGAACAGTAACATTGTGGTGACTGTATGTAAGAGAAGTGTAATCGTTACCAATAACCTCTAGTCTCCAGCTCTGTGTCCCAGCCGCTTTAACTTTATTTCTCTGTAGCGATGCTGAAAGCGGGATGAATGTTGGCATTTTGGACATCTTTGGGTTTGAGAACTTTAAGAAGAATTCTTTTGAGCAACTCTGTATCAACATTGCAAACGAACAGATCCAGTTTTACTTCAACCAACACATCTTTGCTCTCGAGCAGGTAGGCAGGCATTGTTGACATGAATCACCGTGCTTCACCTTGTTGGGAACTGTGCCCGTCTCTCTTCTCTTCATATTGTCGTATGGCAGGTTACAGCAATTCGGAGGCTGAGTTATGAACCTATTCAACCTCAGGGCAAGCACACTCACAGCAATCTACTCCCCGGAAACAAAGAGGCCGCTTCAACTTAAATGCTCACAGAACCAGTGCCATTGACACTACTTCAGGATTGAATCGCAAGCGATGAAGTTGTTCTGTAGTGAAACCGAAGTTGTTGCATTCACATTGTCATCACCTTTACTCCAGGTTCACTCACTCTAAACGGACAATGCCTGCTCTGTGACCCGCTCTTATGCAAAACAATTATAACGTTTTATTATGTTCAATTGTACATTTTAATCTGTTATTCAATGTGTTGTATCGTTGATGCCACGTATTATTGACTACAGTCAAGATTGAAAATTAACACATTGGTGTTTACTTGAGAACTGATGTGCTGTTGTGATGGATTCTACTGCTGTATAGTTGTAAACGGGGAAAAATCTTTTCCTGACCCCTTGTAGGCTGAATACCAAAATGAGGAAATTGATGCTGCGCTGGTAGAATATGAGGATAATAGACCACTACTAGATATGTTTCTTCAAAAGCCAATGGGGTTACTGTCTCTGCTGGATGAAGAGAGCCGATTCCCTCAAGCGACTGACCAGACACTAGTAGGTAAGCTGTTCATTAGGATCCATTTTATGAGGAGCAACTGTGACTTTGGAGTTCAAGAGGGATGTGAAAATCTCAGTACAAGGTTTGCGGAGTCAGCTAGCTGTGATCGGCCATGATTTTGATGAAGTTCCGGGGTGAGGAACATAATAATAATAGTCCTTGCGTTTGATACAACGCCTTATCACGTCTTTGAGACGTCACAAAGCACGTCACAGAATATGCAGTCATGCAAAGTGAATTGACTGTGTATTTTGGGGGCGAATAAACATAAAAAGGCAACGGAATTAAATACAACTGATGCCATGTTCCCCCCAGTAATGTATGTTTTTTTNCTACCCGAACTATTTTGTTGAATCGAAGATTCGATTCATTTGACCTGGTGAATCCCTCTCGTCTTCAAAGGGCATTAAATATAGAATGCCTCCCTATATAAGTGCAAGTTGTTGTTGGCGTTGAATGATTTGGAGACCTTCCTTTTATTTCCCTCCTTCAAGTATCAAACGTAGGGGTTGTTTAGTTGGAAGTTGTTGATTGTTGTGTCGGGAAAAGGGAATCCCTCAGGCTATAAGCCGTGTATCCTGCTGAAGATCATCTCTGTTGGCAAACGGTGAACGGTGTAGGATTCTGCAGGCAAGACATTCTTTCAGTCTGTTTGTTATGCTGGGGAGTACCCAGCTGTCTGAACAGTCCCTGCAGCTACGTCTACTACAATTTACCTTCATCCCTTGATACCATTAACCAGTCTGTTGCTGATGAAGCTGCTCCTGGAAGAAATAGAATACAGCTGTAAATTGTGACTGGTTGGGTGTTTGCTCATTATGGGTATTGGCAGTTTGATTGTTCACATTTGCCCAAACTTGTGATGTGTGCTTTGCGATGTAAATTTCCTGGCCATTAGATTAGATCATTTATATACTTCGGCTTGTTTGCCTTGTGTATTGTAATGCTGGAGGGGTGGTTTGACTCTTTTCCCTGAAGGACATTAATGATGATTGGCATCTTAAATTGCTTCTATTTGTAACTGTTGCTTTTATAACTGTTTCTTAATCAGGTGAGGCTCCAATCTCTGCATTTTGTTGATGGTCATTCCTAGCAATGATTTCACCAGCTTTATAACTGTACATAAATATATGCAAGTTGCTCTCTTTTAATTCCATGATTCACAATGTGTTTCCCTTTCTTTGAGATCGTGTTTCTGAATTCATCTATTCTTTAATTTTCTTTTACTTCCTGTTTTAATATTTTTTAAAAAAGCTGTCTTGCAGCAAATCAAGCATCTTGAGTTAATGTGCCTAATTTATGCCTCTATCAATCAGTATGAAAAGAGCATTAACATGGTCACTAGTCACCTATTCTCTTACTAAAATCATTAAAGCAAACTGTTTTTGGTAAGTTTAGTCATCCAACTCAATAGAATAACTCAGATCAGAATGTATTAAGTGATTTCCATTTTTATCGTGGTCAGCCGGGCATCTGACACATGCGGAAATCCATCACCGTGCTTGAGTTTCCAAAACCATGTTAAGAATTCCATGCATCCCACCTACACATGGGAATTCCAGAGATAGATTGTCATTTCCACATGATATCATTGGCAAAAATAACGCATGGATCTCCCTCTCTTCTAACCATCCAAATAAAAGAATTTAAATAGTTTTTAATTAAGAAACCTTTAAATAATCTCTCAATGTAAGATCCCCCATGCTGTATTTTCTGTTCACTTCCACATGGTTTATTGAAGAGCAAAATAACAAGTCGAGGAACTCAGGAAGCAGAAAATTGTCTCTCTGTATGATGCCTTAATCGGTGCTAACAGCTAAATATTGAAGTAATGTGTATTAAATTAAAATTGTTTGGATGTTGATTTTGTTTTCTTTTAAAGCAGTAAAAACCACGTCTTCATTGGCAACGATTCTATTGTTTTGAATTCTCGTGGTTCAGTTTCAAGGAAGTTGTTTTTGACTTTCCTGACAAAATAAGAATAATAATCCTTACATTTGATTTTGCGCCTTATCACGTCATCAAAACGTCTCAAAGCGCTTCACAGAATATACTATAAAGTTAATTGACTGTATATTTAGTGGGCGAAACGAAGTAGCCAATTGCGCACAGCAGTGGATTGAAGTGACTTATTTATTAAAAGCAACATCTTCACAACCAATCGTAATAATAACCCAATTTCGTGACGGAGTCTGTGTCAGGTCAGTCTAGATAGCATTAAAGATGGTGTTAGTGAAAGGAGAGAGAAAAATAATTCACCCTGGATTCCCACTCTTGATTACTGAACAGTGATGCTTGATGGAAGTGGTTGATGCATGGACTGGATGAGGACATGTGTGAGTGAAGGCAGGATCAGCCATTGCTGTGATTCACTCAACTATTGAACCGATTAACTGTCTAATCTATGTTCATACACGAAGAATAATGGCCACGTGGGCTGAGTAGCGGAGGATCTCCTGGAGCTGTGATGCGGTGTGAGTCAGCCACTTCAGGAAAGGAAAGGGGATTTTTTATTAAAATTAATAACCTGGAATTTTCCAGGAATGTTTGGAATGAAACGTAAACCAAAGTGATTTGTTTCCTCGAGAACGTAGCCAGTATAAATCAGCTACAAAACCTGCTGAAGTGAGTGATTGACTGACACTTTGTCACCGTGTCTTGTGAAGGTATTCTTAATTGGTTCCGAACTGCCTTCAATCAAATTTAAACACACTAAGCTAACCAAGGGAATGATTTATATTCATGCACAGAAATGTATAATTTCACCTGGACTCCCTCCCCCACCTCCAGACACACACACACTCACACACTCACTCATTGCATTCAACACTCACCTTGTCTAGTGCATATCTTTAGAACAAAATATTGTTAATATTGGCAGTTGTATGCTCTCTCTTCAATCATAGCCAATCATTGGTGATATTTATTGTCACACTCAGTACTATTATTACTCAGTCTTACTCCCTCAGGTAATGCATTTGGCCTATTATATATTTTTTTAAAAACTGATACTGATTAAGGTAATTTGAACGGACATTTTAATCTGTTCCAAAACTATACATTTGATGGTATTTAGCTTTCCTAGTGCTGGCTGATTTGGAGAGGGAGATTGATGCTTTACGTTCGGTCTTTGGAATAAGGCTAGTCGTTTACTTCACAGATTTACAGCTGTCACTCTGACCTGAATCACGTCCCTGAATTGGGTTTCAATCTGAGAAACATTTTGAATAGCGAGTGATCTTGATTTATGATTTTTCTCTACCTCCTGTTCAATCGGTAACTTAGCTTTTGACTCTCTTTTTCTGCAGGATATAAATGATTACAGTTGTGAAAACATATTTTTACTAGGATTTTGAGACATCCAATGCAGTGTCTATATGGAATGTATGGGGTGGGGGTCGGGGGGTGATAACAGGACATTGTGGACACCTTGTACTTTAAGCTAGGTGTACGAAAGAGCATTAGGTTTAATATTTTCAATACAGGAGTGACATCAAAGAGTTTGGTAAGAAATGTAGTCTGGCTTGTACAGAATTCCAATACCACTGCAATTAATTTTATAACCAGAATCTGCTTGAAGGCAGCAAATGGAGTCTTGTAGCTCAGTGGTTAGAGCACTCGCCTCGCAAGCGAGAGACCTGGGTTTCATTCCCGGAAGGGCGAAACCTTGGGCATAATTTCCTACTCCACACGCCTGAAATAATCCCTCAATTAAAAAAAACAATAATAAATTGGTCATTTCAATCCATGATTGTGGGACACTGCTGCGGGCAATTGGCTGCCTGCATTTTGCCCACAAATATACAGTCAATTCACTTTATAGTATATTCTGTGAAGAGCTTTGAGACATCTAGAAGACGTGATAAGGCGCTATATCAAATGCAAGGATCATTATTATTATAAATCTGTTTTTCCCTTTTTGGTTAAACTCATTAAAGACTGGAATTACTTGCTTAATGTGGAGTGTAACATTCTCGGGAAATTTAACTAAAATCAGTTTTTATACCTGATTGGGTTAATTAAGCCACAGTTCTCGTGAGCATTTTCATGTTTTTTTTGATCTGCACCCTCTTCACACCACTGAGTTTTGGCACCAGCAGGTATGTTAAATGGGGAAAAATCGCCTTCTAAGGATTTACTTTCAAAGCTGTAAGATGTAAGACTTCATAGTTCCGGAACCATCGATCGGATAATTCCTTCCATATGAATGAGTTTGTGTCATCTGAATTCCTTCAAAGAATGTCCCTATTTTATTACTTTCCACAGAATATGAGTAGGTTTACAGAACCAAAATAAATTGCCAGTGTTGAACTAATTGGGTAATGTAGAGAAAGCAGAGATCTGAATGTAAATGAGTGTTTTAAGTTTTTGTTTATTTTACCTGAAGACTTCTACTTAATTGTAATGTGAGAGTTTGGGACAGTGTATTGTATGAGCATGATATTAAGAAAAATTAGTAATTTTATCTTCACAGATAAAGTTGAAGACAATTTACGATCAAAGTACTTTTGGAGACCGAAAGGCATAGAACTGTGCTTTGGCATCCAACACTATGCTGGAAAGGTATTGATTTTAACAGATAGATATTTAGATATTCATTTTAAATGCTGAAAAATATTACCATTTAACAATTGTTGAAAAATGGTTTTGACTCAATTGATGTAGGGTTAAAATCCGATGAAATCCGAGAAAATTGAATGGTTTTATTTTCAAACAGGTTCTTTATGATGCCTACGGTTTTCTTGAAAAAAACAGAGACACACTTCCTGCAGACGTTGTGGTAGTACTTCGCACATCTGAAAATGTATTGCTCCAGCAGCTGTTTTGTAGTCCACTCACTAAAACAGGTATGTCTGGCCTTCAATCTCCTTTGTCTGCACAGAATATAAATATCCAATGTTCAAATGAAAATCGTTTCCAACTCTTGTGGCGATGGGTGAAAATGTTTTGAATCGCGAGAAACGTAGTCTTGAACTGTCACCGAATGCACATTTACCAGCTGCATTGAATTATACACGTGAGCAGTGTAGATTATTGATTAAATCGGATTTCATACGACTTATACAAGTTTGCCTGCAACTCGGACTTCAAGTATGTGATATTAAATGTTAAGGTCCCGACTGAAACAACTTATGTGAGTTTTACTGCAGATGAAGACGTACTTCATAATTGCTTCTTGAGTAAATGGACGGCACTGTGGATTGGGAAGATTGACCATTTGTGGCATTACACAGTTAATGCACTGTGCAAAACTGTACCCAAGAAAGTCAATATCAGTGAGCGTCAATCATCAGTTGAAATAGTTTGCTCTGAAGTGCAGGTCGACATGTAGTCATCCAAAGATGACGTATTGTAAGCATTCTATTTAATTGTGAAGTACATAATTATCCCAAAACACCCTGAGAGCTTTGAAATACGTACACTGAAATATGTTCCATTTGTAGTTCTGAAATGATAGCTATTATCAAAATTGTTAACCAACAATAGAAACACTGCAATATTATTCCCTATTGGTTATTTGTACCTGGTTCAAAAAGCTTGTTCTTTATTCTTGTGATTACAGTCACAAGGTTCTAACGGGTAAAAATATCTTAAATATTTACTTTAATTCACTTTCATTTTAAACCAGCCGCCAAGTCTGTGACAATAATATAATAATAATAATAATTCCGTGCATTTCATACAGTGCCTTATCCTACTACTTGTTATGCAACCTCCGACCAGTATTATGACACTCTCTGTGGTTTCAGCATCGTGTGAAATCCTGGTTGAAATACAGTATGCCAAGAGGGAATAAAGAATCGTATTACACACAAAAGTAAGGAGTGAGAGAATAAGACAATTCACTCACAGAATCGGTGCTGTGAATTCCTGAAGGAATAGCTCTTTCTAAAAGAAGCTCTTGTTTCTGGATCCTTCATTGGATCTCACTTGGAGGTACCCCAAATAGTAAGAAGCATCAAGTATTAGACGCTACACCAGTTATGGTCAGGCTGTCATCACCAACATCTCTGAGGCTTGCGGGAGAGTTTGTTTCCATGCTGAAGCAGGCAGTGAGTGGACAGTGCCCTTGCCAGTACAGTACATGATCTGGGAACACCCAGCGTGCAAACACTGACGTAGTTTTCCAGCATTGGATTGTGCAGTTGGTTGAACACAGCTGGGTGAGCAGATGGGCGCTCCAGTAAACTGCTCGCCAGACTGATGCAAAATCTGCCTCCAGACCTCAATACTCCATAAAGTGGTTACTCATCCTTCCTTAGAGGCATTGAAGGGTTTTGCGATGGGAGTGATGTGGCAGCACCTGGTTCACCTGTGGCTCAAGTGGAGCATCCTTAAACAAGTAGTTTTCATTCGTCTAAATAGGAAAGGTTTCTTCAGACGTGGGTATCCTTGACCATGATACGAAGTTAGAATTGTCTCCGCTGCAGTATGAGAATCCAAGTGTTCCAAGTGTTAGAGATTACGATTTAACATTTTCTTATTTACTTTCCAAATAAATGTTTTATTTGGGTTTGAATACTTCTCGAATTTCAGCAAAAAGATTTGTTCTTTTAGGTTTGTTTTCAGCATCGTCCATTCCACTTCCAACATGGTCTTTTAAACTCAGTTTATAGGTGGATTGGACCTGTCCGGAGATTGCCTTTTTTTCTCGCCCCTTCCCTTACCTCCTTCAAGGCCTTTCTCAAGACCCTCCTCTTCGACCGTGCTTTCGATCACCCTCCTCCCTCCATCCCTCCTGCTCCCAACCCCCAGCTCAGATGCACACGCTTGACTGTCCAGCGCCTTGGGACATCCTCCCGACATGGAGGGCGCTGTACAAATGTAATTTATTGTTATTGTCTGTCGCTTACCCTCCTAGTTTGGGATTACTGTCAGTTTGATTTGACCCTCTTCTTCCTTAGGATCTTAGTCTACTATTGCCTTATTGATGTGGAAGAATGTCTGGTGCAAGGTTCTAAAGTACGCACATATCCTCTGTATCAATGTGTGCACACAATTCAGCAAATGAGCATTCAAAACCCCAGTGATTTCAGTATCAGTGGGACCAAACTTATTCGTGACTTATGTGCATCCACTCTGAGGATCAATAATATAGTAAGCAACACTCATTGAAAGTTGATTCTTTTGAGAATTACCATTGTAAGCGTCATTTGCACAAGGCAGCGAAATGAAGGCCACGTGAAAGCCAGATTTCTGTTGTGAACGTCCAGTGGAGGTGACTGCTTCTCGTGCTAAACAGCGGTCAACCTCCAGCTCAGCGAGTGGCTGTAGATTTATCTTCTTGCAAGCTCTGCCATGGTTTGATGACCCACACGTAGGACACTTTTTAGTGGAGAGTTGGCCACGGGTGCTCGGGCCCAACCCATGGTATAACAGGGCTCCACAACAACAACAACTTACATTTATATAACACCCCTCACACAGGGTAGAGTCCCAGAGTGCTTACATTGTACTGTTTATCATAGGAGAGGTGCCATGGCATTTAGAACATTTATTATTCACATTCCAGCGCCTCTGGCATTTGAGCTCCTATTTTGAGGGTTAAAATGGGTTGCTACAGATTTATAGCAGTTTTCACAGTTGCCGATTCTCTGATGAATGAGGTCAGTTTAAATAGGACAGTTTACACACCGCGTTGGCTTTCCAGAGAATGTTCGTGCCGAGAACAGACTTGCAGTATTTATATGAAAAAAAACCGTAAGGCAAAATCAATGAATAAAAATAATAACAATCCTTGGATTTGATAATAGCACCTTTACCTTAGGAGGAGGTTCTCATAGAGCCTCACAGGATTTACTGTACAGTGTAGTGACTGTGTGTTTGCAGGTGAACACAGCAGATAATTTGTGCACAGCAATGTTCCACAGAGTCATATCTTTGCATCACCAATGCAAAGACTCCCAATTTTGAGCATTGTCTACATCCAGTTAACTTTAAAGACACATGGCAAAGAACTTATAAGATACAAGGGCCTTGCAGAGGGCAGAGAGTAGACGTTTGTGCTTTAAAAATGTGGTGGAAAACATCTGGAGAAATGCCTACGTCCAATATTGTTACAGCTATCAGATTAATTTGTTCTTGCCACAGTATGTAGGACAACTGCTCCTCTTGGCTGTGTACATTAACAAACTCTGTAATTAGTTCCCTTGATGCAGCCTTTGGGTTGCATAATGATTTTGCATAATGGGCCTCATTAAAACAAATATGCATGATGTAAATGATATAGAAAGAGACATTGTGTGGGAACTGGATTGACATTTTACACAGTATCTTTGCTCAAAATGCTGATAGTAATAGCAAGCGGGAAGGTGGGGATGGGGTGGTTGGGGGGGTTTGTTGAGGGGAGGCAAAGCAGTTAGTCAGCTATGACTTTTTTAACTCAAGATTGAATAATTAAAAGTTTACAGCAGTATTTATAGAGTTCAAGTGAATATGATACGATATTGTGGAGGTGCTATCAAATCAAATGGAAGAAACTAAGTATAGTGTATAATATACAGAACATAGGAGCAGGGGTAGGCCATTCAGTCCCTGGAGCCTGTTCCCCCATTCTATTAGATCACAGCTGATCTGTACCTCAACTCCAATTACTCATGCATATATGTAGCTATTTGTTATGCAATTAACATTGGCAAATTTGGCAAAGGATTTGCTTCTTAGAATATTTTCGTGGTGTCTCTTTTAGTCTGGCTCTTGTGCAGCTAACCTCTGAGACTTGAGGAAGAAATCTCACTCGATTGCGATCTTCCAAATGTTTGAAAGGAGCGAGATAAGAGAAATATTGATTTATCACAGAAAAATTGCAAAATTTTCAAACACAAATGCATTCGAAATCCAATTTCAGGTAAGCCAGCGACTTCAAATGGAATACTCTATGTACGTTTCTTCATGAAATAGGACCACTTTTTAATCACGACGCCAATTTTTCCTGACTTGATCCCCGTGAGCTTCACAGTGCCACAATCTGCTAAAAAAAAAAGTTTGAATGAGCATCTGATTCTGAAGCGAATTGAATCAAAAGTGAACTAATTCATATCTATTTATGCTATCCACAGTTTTCACAGCACTGATCAATTTGAACTTGAGACACAATTCCACCATCTAAGCGAAGATAGTGACAGGTGCTATGACTGATAAATGCCATAAGCTCGACTGCTGGCAAATCAAATTCAGAGTTGCATTTCTGAATAACAGAGATCAAAATGTAAGACATCTGACACTGTTCATCCCTGAAAAATAATGGAGGGTTTCATACGAGGAATCTTTCTGGTGATCTTATGACTCTTAATTTAAAGATATGTACATTTTTAAAAAAAAATAAGTGTCAAGTGTTGTGCTATAATTGTATAAGTTAATTACAATACTTGTCCCACTCCTGAAGAAGAGCTTGATTATCTTCCTCTTATCTTGCTGTTTCACTGCTGCCAGTCTTGTGTGCTGATCAGAAGAGATCAGTTGAAGGCAGCGGACTTGTACGTACAAATAGCCTCCCTCTGTAAACGTTTCTACGATTGTTTGACTCTTCTGACTTTCTTTCAACTGATCCATCCAAAAATGTGATTTAAATCAAATATCTATAACAGTAAAATGTGAATCATCTATTCAGTGCGCTCAAGAGAATGTCACTATATATGAATACAGTTATAATATAATGGCCTTGGGAGAATGTGTTAAAATATCAATGCTATTAACAGCTGAACATATTATTGTACTGTTAATATTACTACTGTTATTCTTCCAGTGGTAATTGCCAGCTGTTAGTACTGGTACAGTCCTTCTCCCAGTCCTGTGGGTCAGTTACATTGCTAAATGCAGTCAATTTAACCTTCTGTAAATCTGTTCA